ATTCTTGGGAAAATTCATTTCAAGTACTGTTCAAAAAATTATTCTTAGCTTTTTTTTTTCAATTCAAAAACCCATTATTGAATTTTTGATTAAAAAAACTGTTCAAGCAATTTGCAACTAAAAAATTAGGTTTAATTTAATAAACAATCTAGTAATTTTTTTATTTTTTTATTTCATTTATTATTTTTAAATATTTTTAGATTCATTTATTATTTATTATTTTTAATTTAATTTAATTTAATTTATTAATTTTTTAACGATAGTTTTACTCTGTTTGATCAAATTGATCTTTAACTTATTTTTTTGTGAATTTTTACTCATTAAAGTTAATTTTGAGATAAAACTAATTTTATAAAAATGATAAGTTTCTTTTTATTATCTGAAAAACTGTACCTTTTATCATATGTTATTTTTATTTTTCCTTTTAACAATTATTTCTTGTAGCAATAATTACAATTATTGACATGCTTTAATAACTTATATAATTTGTCATAAACTACTTTACTAACTAAGGCTATTATGTTTTAATTTTAATTTAATTTTTTTAATTATTTTTCTAGTAAAACTAATAAAAATTTTGTATAATAAACTATTTTAAAATATTTTAGAAAATTTATAAATTATTTAAAAATAAAACTAATTTTATAGTTTAAAATAAAATTAAACTAATAATTATTAAATCAATCATTGAATTAAGCCAAAAAAAAATTACTAAACTTAGTTTGACCATTCTACGCTATGGTGGTAACTGTAATTATAAAATTTTTACTTATTTAATACTTTTGAAATATATAAAAATATATTTAATTTGATTTGATAAAATAAAAAATAAAAATATTTTGATATTTTTTAATATATAAAACATAATATAAACCAAAATTTTATTAAATTTATTATATAATTTTTTTTTGAACAAATTCAATGGGGCCAAATTCGAACAGTTACCCTGAGGTAGGTGGGAGAATGCAACTTATACGTAACCTGACGTCATTAGATCCAAAGGACTAAATGTAAATTTATTATATAATTATTATTATACATCATAATATTTTTATAAAACATTTGAGTCAATTGATAAAAATTTTAAGTTGGATCCATATCTTAAAAAATCCATCACCCCTAATCCCAAAATTTTAAACTGTAAA